CTCACGCTGAGTGGCAGGTGTGTCCGGTGCTCGGCGTGCAAACCCAGCCAAGAGCGTTTCCTGGTTACCTGGGCAGATTTAAAGCAACACGGGGTTCTGCTCTCACCTCGGAATGGAGGCAGGGGATTGTCAAGCCATCAGGGGCCAGGAGGTGGTCCCCTTTCTTTTGGGGGGGACTTCCTTCACCAAAGAGGGGTGAGGAGAGCCAGCCTGATGGGTTTGGGGAAGCAGCCGATGGGGATGGAGGCTGGCCTGGCCGAGTGTCTTTGCAGGAGAGGCTTGTGAGAACTCAGGGGAGCCAGGAATGAGGCTCCTGTCCCCCCCCCACCCCCCGCCACCAGAACCCCACGAGTCCCAACCTTCCCCCACATACACCTGTGAGCTCCGGCATCCCCGGCTGCACCAGCTCGGAGTGGCTACCACTGGTGCAGGTGATGTTTGCTGGGGAGGAGGAAGTTTTGAGGTTACTTAACTCTCAACAAAACAGACTTCTGTTGTCCAGATAGAGTTTCTCTGTTACCGCGAGGGTCTGGTCACCAGGCTGGGTTTTCCCTTTCCTCTGTAAAACGCTCCCAGTCTTCCTCTTCTGGCTTGTAACCTGAAAGGTAGCCCCGCATCCCCTCTGCCCTCCCAGCTCCCCAGCTCCCAGGCGGTTTCTGTAGCCAGCCCGCTCCAGCGAGGATCATGACAGGAAGTCTCTGGGAGAGGGCTTGGGGATGTTGTGACTGAGCGGTTCTGGAACAGCCTTCTGTCTCCACCTGCCTTGTCCCTCTGGGGGCCCTGCCTTCTGGGAGTCGCCATTCTTCCCAGATCAACGTGGGTGCAGACTGTATGCCCAGCGCTGCTCCCCAGGCCCCCTGGCCTGCAGACTGCTGTTTGCGTAAGAATAGATTGCTTGGAGAACTTGGTAAAAATGAGAATTGTCAGCAGCCATCCTGCCCTCACCCCGATTTTAGGGGTTCTGTTTTGGGTTATGTGGGGGCAGGGAATGCTCAGAGATCTGCGTGTTAAACAAGCTGCCCGGGCACTTGAAGACACAGGGATTGACGGGCTTCTTGGCCAGCTAAAGCCCAAATGGAACCTTTTCCGGCTGAAGCTTGCCTTTTCTCCTCCTTCAGGAAGCCTTCCTGGCTTGCCTCCACCTGGTCTTGCGCCCCCCGCTCCCCCCCCCCCACATACGTATGTGGTTTGTTGGTGAAGGTTTTGACATAGAAGTCTTGAAAGCAGGTGCCCTTTGTACTCAGTTAAGACAGAAATGGCTGCATTGGGGCGAAAGATAAAGGACCTGCATTTCTGGGCGTGAGGAATAAATTATATCTGCAGTCTCTCACCTGGGCGGTGCGGTCGTGAGTTCCCGGGGAGCCTGGAAAATGCCCTCTCATAGATACCTTCCTGGTGCATATGCCCTTGTGCCCATGGAGACCACGGCTATTTCTGGACGACGTCACCCTAGGCCAGTGGTTCTCAGCCTGTGGGTTGCGACCCCTTTGGCGGTCAAACGGCCCTTTCACAGGGGTCGCCTAAGACCATCCTGCATAGCAGACATTTACATGACGATTCATAATAGTAGCAACATGACAGTTATGAAGTAGCAACGAAAATCATTTTATGGTTGGGTCACAACATGAGGAACTGTATTTAAAGGGCCAGAAGGTTGAGAACCACTGCCCTAGGCGATGCCCACTGGCACCACGGGGCTGGTTCGGGTCCCCCCCCACCAAGTTAGCACCCTCTCCTTCCCCAGATAGATGCATCCAGCTCCCTGCACACGAGGACGAGAACTTTCCTGCATGGATCCCTCCCTTTGAACCGTGCCATTGGCTCAAGACGCCCCGTGCAAAATCGCTTGGGTGCCCAGGCTTCACAGACTCAGTTTGTGCCCAGAAAAATGTCCGTGTCAAACCGATCTTGGTCGGTCAGAGGATTCGCGAAAGGCCCGGAGGAAGCGTGCCGCCCAGAGGAATGCTGGAGCGGCAGGTTTCTGTCAAAGGCCTCTCCGGGCTGTGAGTCATCACCTCCCGTGTTGGGTCTGTCGGTGCAGGTTCTTCCGTAGAAACCAGGTGCCTCTGTAGTTGGATAAGGCCGACGTGGCCACATCTGGGCGCAGGACGAAGGAGCAGCAGTTCTGCAGGAATAAGTCAGACCGCAGTC